TTCACTATACTTCCCAAACCAAGCACAAGGAGATTGTTTTAGCCCATAAATTGCCTTCTTAAGCCTACACACTTTACCATCCTCTCCTTGAGCAACAAACCTTGGTGGTTGCTCCATATAGATCTCTTCCAAAAGGTCACCATGGAGGAAGACATTTTTAATGTCAAGCTGAAACAAAGGCCAATCATACATAACTGCCAAGGAAATCAAGACACAAATTGAACCAATCTTAGCCACAGGGGAGAAGGTTTCCATATAATCCACCCCATATAACTGAGAATAACCTTTAGCAACCAATCAGGCCTTTAACAGTTCCATACTGCGATCTAGTAAATATTTAACAGTATACACCCATTTACAACCTATAGCATGCTTACCAGGAGGAAGAGTGGTGAGCTCCAACATGTGATTGTGTTGAAGAGCAGAGAGTTCCTCCTCCATATCTTGATGCCACCATGGTGAAGTATGAGCCTCCTGGACATCCTTGGGTATAAATATAGAGGACAACAAAGAAACAAACTGGCAATGTGAAGTGGAAAGATGAGGGACAGAAACATAATTGGAAGTGGGATGTAAGGTACAACTATGTTTTACCTTTTCGTAATGCAATGGGAGGATCAAGTTCAGAAGAGGTAGGCAACTTTGGGACAGAAGCAACTACAGGATCCGTAAACGAGGTAGAAGTCGGAGGAGGTGCCGATGCCTACCGATGAGTATACACGTGTCGGGTCGGTGGTCGTTCAGTAGGAATCTGCACTAGAGGAGGTGAAGGGTCAGACATAACAGGAACAACCAGAATGAGATCACCAACTAGAAGAGAAAAAGGGATCAATGGTCAAGAGGGCGGTACATCGAGACCTAAGAACAACAGCACGGACTCCAAAAATGTGACATCAGGGCAAACAAATGATTTCTGAGTGATAGGACTGTAACACTTATACCCTTTCTAGGTAGGGGTGTAAACGGATCGAATTTGAAACGGATCAGGCAATATTCGAATTCGATTCGATATCCGACGAATATTGAAAATTAATATTTTAATTCGAATCTGATTAAATATTTAAATATTCGATTCGAATTTGGCTAATTAATTATTTTAGGTAATTAATAAATATATAAAATAAATATTTTATTTATATAAAGTATATCAATATATAAATTATTTATATAACTTTATTATTATATATATAAATTATATAAAACATTTAAAAATTTTATATACTATATATAAGAATTAAATAATCAGTCGAATTCGGATATTTATCGAATCGAATAAGGTCATATCCGAATTCGAATCCGATTAGCTATTCGGTATGAATAGGATATCCGAATTCGATCGGTTAGATATTCGAATTATCTAAATTCGATTCAATTATATCGAATCTTGAATTCGAAATTGGATTTTCGAATACCGTTGACACCCCTATTCTGGGTTCGAGAATAGCCAAGAAAGATACACTTAATAGAGAATGTATCCAGCTTGTCTAAACCAGGGCCCAGATTATGAACAAAGCACATACACCCAAAGACTGGGGAGTTAATGGAAAGGAAGACAAAGTGGGAAACAAAATAGAAAAGGGAGATCGACCATGAAGAATGAAGGAGGGCATTCAATTAATGAGAAAACAAGTCGTAAGCATTGCGTCACTCCAAAAATGTTTAGGGACATTCATCTGATGAAGGATAGACCAAGCAGTCTCAAGAAGATGACGGTTCTTTCGTTCAACCACCCCATTTTGTTGATTGGTGGATGCACACGAAGTCTGATAAATGATGCCATGTTGATCCAAATATTGTTGAAAGGACGAAAGTATGCACAACCATTATCGGAACGAAGAACTTTTATTGGAACACCAAATTGCGTATGCATTTCTGCATGGAATTTTTGAAAAATAGAAAACAATTCACTCCTTTCTTTCATTAAATAAATCAATGTAATCCTTGAACAATCATCAATAAAAATGACAAAATACTTGTGACCATTATCGGACCCTAAACATCTGAATGGACTAAAGAAAAAGGACTCAACATACGGCTATCAACCCTAGGATTGAAGGAAACCCGATGGTGTTTCCGATACTGACACGACTCACACTAGAAAGAAGACAAATGACTCAAAGAAGGAACTAGTAGCTTGAGAGCCTTGAAAGATGGATGTCCCAGCTGACAATGCCATTGAAGTGGAGTCAAGGAAGTTTGAAGTGCAACTAAAGATCCACCACCGTCAAGATAATACAATCCACCGGTTTCATGCCCTCCACCAATCTTCCCCATCTTGAGATCCTGAAAAACACAAGATGAAGGGTAAAAAGTGATAGAGCAATTAAGGGCCTTGGTTAATTTACTAACAAACATTAGGTTGAATGGAAATTTAGGCACATATAGAACAGATGATAAAGAAAATGATGTAGTGTCAACATTACCAACCACACATGGGTGAAGAAGAACCATTGGCCTAGGTAACAGTTTGTGATGTGGAAGTTTTAGAGAGGGAAGAAAACACACCTGGAGTCCCGGTCATGTGATCAGAGGCTCCAGAATCAATAATCCAGTGAGAAGGTTTGGATGCCAGATAGACCTAAGTGTGCAAGAGTAGCAGTTATGTTGTGAAGTGGCCTGAAGGAACCTCTCATACTCATCTCGTGGTACACTCACATCACCACCACCAGCAACTACATGATTAGCCCATGTAGAGGGTGGGCCATGTAGATCATAACAAAAATTAATCGTATGTCCGTCTTTGCCACAATATGTACACTTTCTAGTAGTGTGCCCTCTTCCTCTACCATGACCTCCCCTTGAATCACGACCCCCACCACTTCCACCACCACGACCAAACATGGGACTACCACGGCCTTCTCCTCGAAATGTATGTCCTCCCCCTCTATTGCCACGTCCACCTCCTCTTGCTACAACAAACACTGATCTGTCAGACGTTGTGCTACTCTCTGTGGGTCCCAAGGAAATCCTATGAAGCCGAGGAATGACCTCCTCAAGTGTAGGAAGAGCAGAATCTCCCAATATTTTTGCTCTAACTAGTTCGTATTCTGATTTCAGCCCCACTAAGAACCTGGTTACCTCAAGTTTCTCCATTTGCTGTTGCTGAATTTTAACATCTGAAGTTAGGGGATGATAGACACTGAGTTCATTTCTGAGGTTCCTCATACTTGCATAATACTCTTCAAGGGTTTGATTTCCTTGCTGCAAATTAAAATACTCTTGATAGAACTGATAAACTCTCGTAGTATTATCCTGTCTTGAATAGAGCTTTTTGGCATGTTCCCATATTTCCTTGGCTATATCTAAGAACATAAAGTTTACACTTATCTTGGGTTTCATACTGTGATCCATAGCCATGTCATGATTTGGGCATCCTCTTGTTCCCAATCATCAAACCTTGGGGAGTCAACTGATGGTTTATCCTCCTTCACATGTTCCACCTTCCTCTTGGCCTTGAGAAAAACCTCCAGCAACTTGGCCCATGGCACATAATTTTCACCATTAAGTTTAATTGATGTTATTTGCACACCTAAATAGTCTGAGGGGACCACCACATTAGATTTCTGATCACCACCACCATCTCTGGTTGCTGCAATTATGTTCTCAATACACTAGATTTCTCCTAGTTCTGAATTATCAACCAACAAAAAGGATTTCTGCTATTCAATCAACACTGCTGCAATTTGCACATCACCTTATGGCACTTTCTCCACCAGCCACCATAAAAAAAAAAAAAAAAAAAATCTGATTTCTCACACCACTACTGTTAACCACATTATTTCTCACATCACCATTCAAACACAAATAAAGAAAATACCCCTCTTGAAACTGCTCAGTAGAGGGTCTGTAACACAACAAACACCACCATACAACCACTAGGGCTGTCACTCATGGTGACAGCAATCTGAGAGCTACTCACCTAGGGCTGCCACACCTTCCTAAAACCTGTAATGGGATTGAGGCAGTCCTGGATCACCAAAAAAGGGTTGCTGCAGCATTCTACTGGGTGTGCCGCAGCCTTCTACCTGTGTAACTGAGATCGCACCTCAGAGAAAAGGAGAAAAGAAGAAGAGAAGAGATCGCAGGTCCAGGAACTTGAGATCACAGCCTTCCTCTCTTTTATTTAGTGCTCTGATACCATGTTTTAGTGGTTCAGATAAGTCCTGTTCAAAGAGAAAGAAGAAAAAGAAGAAGGAAGAAAGCTGTCGAACTAGAGAGTCTGAAACATCCTAGTCGACCATAATTTCTATTATATTAAAATAAGGGTACAAAGTCAAATATACCCCTACTTAAGTATGGGACAAGAAAAATAAAAAACAAAACAGAATTGCCACATCACTACACTACTTAAACTATAATGAAAAGACTAAATTACCCTTACTCGACCAACTCTAACAAGAACAAAACCACATGTGCAATGTATTCTAGTCCAAAAGGAGGAGATTTGGTAAGGGCAGAAATTTTGGCAGTAGTATCTGGGGTGAGAAAGCTGAAGTAATGGCAGTTTTGGGATTGATGATTCAACATGATTAGAAGGTGGTAGTTGGTTAATGAAGGTAAAGAATGTGGTGTGGAGCTTCATAAATGAATTAAGATGGTTCAAATGGTTTTCAAAAGACATGCAGATACAAATTAGGCAGGTATGGGGGTCTGCAAACTGTTTGGCTGATTGTCTGGCTAAAGAAGGGGTCAATAGACAGCAAGTGATTATGAATGAATTCACAACCTCGTGTCGTAACTGTTTTAATTATTTAACGAATGAATTCCTTTTTTATTGTTATTGATAAAAAAAATCCCTTTCTTTTTTTGTGTTGATATGTACTGCCCTAAAACAGCATTTTTAATATGATCATTGGGCTGAGGTTCTCCAAATAAATAAATAAACAATAAAATAAAAGTACATGTTTCTGGAGTAAGGTTCTTAATCAAACATTGAAATGCTTATTATGAACATTGCTGCATCTATTGCTGATTTCTTTTCATTGCTTGTACTTTCCCAGCGTACAACTATTTCTACTCCAGCAATTAAGGGAACCATTCTGCCTGGCATTACCCGAAAAAGTATAATTGATGTTGCTCATAGTCTAGGGTTCCAGGTATTTATTTTGTAGCCATAGTATTATTCTCTGTGGTTGAACTATAGTCCTAGGTGTTCTACCAAATCATGGTATTTTTTTTTTATTTCATTCAGTGATTTTGCAAAAATGATGGGATGTAGGCCTTTTATGCTGCTTGTTGTTTGGCTTATGTTTTAATTCCCCTTGAAACTGAATATATACTCTTGAAGACAAATTCAAGGATGTATTATCCTTTGATATCTTTCGATAGCAACTTTCTTATTATCATTTACATCCAATGGGATTTGATCAAGAACAGTACTTGTACCAGCTGGATTGAATCCTTTGTCTTCAGAATTTTACACAAAAAGGTTGAATTAATTCAAAAACTTTGGAAGTATTTTGGATCAGTGGTTCTTTCCTCCTTCCTGGTTCTCCAAAACAAATGTAATACTTTAAGTGGGTAGGATCCAGTTGAAAACAGTTCACTTGATGTATGGAACTGTTTGAGATTAGATGCAAAACAGAAACTAAACAAACAAGAGAGGAAGGGAAGAGAGAGAGCTGGCGGCAATGAGTGTTAGAGAGTGAGAGTTTYGAACTTAACCTCACTCTAACACTCTAAACATTTTATTAAGGTGTTAATCTTTGATAAATTACAGAGAGGCCCTTGAATGGGCAGAAAAATACAAAAAACAGAACATTACAGAGTATGGGCCCATAATAAGGCCCATAACAAAGAGAAACATAACATAACATGAAATGACAGTCTATGGGCCATTCGGCCCATCTCCTCTACAGATCCTTAGGTCAGGTCCATTTCATATCTTCAATCTCCAAAATGCAATGCAACAGTTAACAGATAGCATCCTAGCCCTTATTGTGCTACATGCAAAGACAGAAGTAACAGCCTTCTTCTGTTCTCATATCCTAACAAATATTTCTCTTTGGTTATTTTTGTAGTATAGATTTGAAAGTAGTGGTTGTGTATTCCTTTTCTTTTTTCCTTAAGTAACCAAGTTCATTGTGCTTAAATTCAGTTTTATTTTTCCCCACATAGGGATTTCATTTATATTTCTACATGTAGTTATTTAATTCAGCTATAAAGGAGGTATCCATATAACTTAGTTGGATAATGACTGTAATCAGTCCAATTCTTGATGTGAATTTAATGAGAAAAAATAACAGAAAAGAAGAAGAGAATACAGTTGACGCTCCACTCAACTATTTATAGTAACATCATAAATAAGGCAACAATTACACTAATGCCCCTACTGCTTACATAAGCAAATAACTAACATCACTAACAGCAACCTAACAGAAAATATGAAACAACAAACAAGTAGCAACAGCAGTGGGGACCACAATAAATAACTGACATCAATATAACAACACACATTATTGCTCTACATCTCTACACTCCCCCTCAAGTTGGGAATAGATATTTATCATTCCCAACTTGCATAAATCTATTTCCAACTTGGTCCTTGTAACTGCCTTGGTGAAGAGTGATGTTGCATATCAGAGGCAATATATGGAAGAACATTTCTTGAGAGGTAACTCTCTCTCTCTCTCTGATAAAGTGTTGATCCGCCTCAATATGTTTAGTTATGTCATATTGTGCCGGATTATGGGCAATGTTAATTGCAACTTGATTATCACAATACAGCATCAGGGGCTTCTCATAAGCAATTCCCAATTCCTCAAACAAGGACCTCAACCATAATACTTCAGCCACACCATGTGCCATAGATCTTTATTCTGCTTCAGCACTGGAACAAGTTACAACATTTTATTTCTTACTCCTCCAAGAGACAAGGTTTCCTCCTACAAAAGCACAATACCTAAAAGTAGACCTCTTGTCATCAATACACTCAGCCCAATCAGCATTTGTTGTAAACTTCTATTTTCAAGTCACCATTATTTCTGAAGAGTATGCCTCTACCTGGACACCTCTTCAGGTAAGCAAGAATCCTCTCGATTGCAAGAAGGTGAGTGGTTCTGGGGGAATGCATATACTGGCCAACTACAATGACTGCATAAGAAATGTCTAGTCATGTGAGGCAAAGATAAAGAAGTTTTCCAACCAACTGTTGAAACATAACCTTGTCTTCAAGGAGCTCTCCACCTTCGGCCCTTATCTTGTGGTTTTGTTCAATGGGTGTATTAGTAGGTTTAACACCTAGCTTCCCAATTTCTTCCAAAAGATTAAGAACATACTTCCTTTGGGAGACAAAAATCCCATGTTTGGACCAAGCTACTTCAATACCCAAGAAATAACATAGTTCTCCCAAGTCTTTGACTTCAAATTCTTAGTGAAGCAGTTGCTTAAGAGAGTCAATCTCACGAGTACCACTCCTTGTCACCACAATATCATCTACATATACAACAAGTAGAGTCAAAGAGGAGTTTATTTTCTTAATGAAAAGAGTGTGATCTGATTGGGCTTCAACATAGCCAAATTTTCCAAGAGCCAATCTAAATTTATCAAACCAGGCTCTTGGAGATTGTTTCAATCCATATAAGGCTTTATACAACCGACAAACTTTCTTCCTTGCTTTTGTACTGTAGAACCCAAGAGGTAATTCAATGTACACCTCTTCTTGCAAATCACCATTGAGGAAGGCATTTTTAACATCCATTTGGAACAATGGCCACGAGAAATTTGCTGCAATAGACAATAAGACTTTGATAGTGTTCATCTTGGCTACCGGTGCAAAATTCTCCCAATGGTCTATGTCACAAGTCTTGTAAACCCCTTTGCAACTAATCTGTCCTTATACCTCTCAACAGAGCCATTAGCATTATGTTTCATTGTAAACACCCATCTACACCCAACCGGTTTCTTCCCTTTTGGTTGATTAACTAACTCCCATGTTTGTTTTTGAGAAGGGCATCCATTTCTACCTTCATAGAATCCTTCCACTCAAGTATTGACAAGGCCCCTTGCACTATCCTGGGAATGGGAATAGTAGAAATAGATGCCAAAAAGAACTTATAGGATGGAGACAAATGATCATAAGTCAAAAATTGAGAAATAGAATGTGTTATAGATGAAGTACAATGGTGCTTCCCTTTGCGGACTGCAATTGGAAGATCAAGATCATCCAAAGGAGAAGGCTCAATAATGGAAGGCATCTCATTAAGCTCAGTAATGGGAGCATAGCTATCAAGGCGACTAGGCTAGGCTAGGCAACCATGGGGCGCCCAGGCATCTAGGTGCCTAGGCTCCTAGGCGATGGAATCTATAGATTTCTATACTTTGACCTAAACTATTTTATAAGTTTAGGAACTAGGAAGGGAGTTGGTTCGGCTGTTAAAAATAATAAGTGCAGGAAGCCAGGAACTAGGAAGGGAGGAGGAGGAAGAAGAAGAAGAAGAAGAAGAAGAATGGGGTGGAGCCCCTATTTTCTGAGTTGTTGTAACTGCTCAAAAAAATGGGGTGGAGCCCCTGTTTTCTTAGCCACACTGCTGCAGAAAAACATACATACCTGATATCTGTAGCCCCTATTTTTTTCGAAGAAGAAGAAGAAGAAGAAGGGAGGAGTATAGGTGCGGAGCCCCTGTTTTTTTGAAGAAAAAAAGAACTGAAGCTAGGAAGGAGAAGAAGAAGAAGAAGAAGAAGGGAGGAGAATAGGAGCGGAGCCCCTGTTTTTTCGAAAAAAAAAAAGCATTGAATCTGGCCTGGAAGAAGGAGGAGGTGTATAGGGGCGGAGCCCCTGTTTTTTCAAAAAAAAAAAGCACTGAAGCTGGATTTAGGCACCTGCCTAAGTCTCTGGGTGTCGCCTAGTATACAAAACTATGGGCGTTTGGGCGAGGCGAAACTGGAAAACCGCCTAGTTGCCTAGGCGCCCGCCTAGGTGTCACCTTGACAACTGTGAATGGGAGGTATCTCATATGTAGTGGCATGCAAAGGAGCTGTGGTACATGGATCTAGAGCCGCAGAGGAAACTGGAGTTGGCCTAGACTGCTGAGGACCGAAATCAACTTGTTTCCACCGCTTGTGAAACACCCTCAAATCCCTACACTTTTGACAACACTCGTCACTACACTCCCCTTTAGTGATTGGGACGGATAATGGAATTTTTTATGTTGGTGAACCCATCTCACTACTCTCCCCCTGAGAAGAAACTCTATGATAATAGGGAACATCCTCAAAGAATGTGACATCTATAGAAATGAACCGTTTCTCAGAAATAGGTTCAAAACAACAATATCCCTTTTGATTTTGTGCATACCCAAGAAAAACACATTTGAAAGCTTTAGGATCAAACTTGGAACGATGAGGCTCAAGAATATAACAAAACAAGCACATCCAAAAGTTTTAAGGGGAATAGTGAACATGTCCTTATCGAGATATAAAAGGTTGAATGGAATTTTCATATCTAGGACCCATGAAGGAACCCGGTTGATGAGATACATAGCTATATGGATAGCATCCCCCAAAAACTGTATAGGAGAATTAAAGTTTAGCATAATGCTTATAGCTACCTCCAATATATGCCTGTTTTTCCTCTCAACAACTCCATTTTGTTGAGGTGTACAGGGACAAGTGCTCTGATGAATAACCCCATGGTCAAGGAAATATGAGGCCAAAGGTTTTGCAAAATACTCTTTGGCATTATCTGATCTAAAAATTTTGATTTTGACTCCAAACTAGGTCAGAACCATTTGATGGAAATTCCAAATCAAGGTAAGGACCTCATCTCAATAGTGCATAAGATAAACCCATGAGAAATGAGTATAGTCGTCAACAAACAACAGAAAGTATCTGTATCCCCCCATAGTAGTGATATGATATGGTCTCCAAACATCAGTATGCACAATTTCAAAAGGAATAGTACTTCTTTTATTCCTTTTAAACTAACTCAAACAAATTGGGAAACAAACTCCTTAAAGACTTAAAGACAAATGACCTAACCGATTACGCCAAAGCATAATCTGACTCACAGACTAAGAAACAAGAGACCTTCCAACTTCTTTATCTTCCCCATGTAGATACCCTCCAATTAGGTAGATTCCATTCGTCTGATGGCCGA